GCAGGCTCCCTGCTGAGCAGAGAGTCTGATCCCAGGACCCTGGGATCATGACCTGAGCCAAAGGCAGAGCCTTAATCCACTGAACCACCCAGGTGCCCCTACTGTCTGGTTTTTTAAGTGCAATCTACCAAGACCAGGGGTGGAGTCCTGAGACCCCTATGCTTCCTGCAGACTCCGCTCCATGTGTCCTGATGCCTCTGAATTTTTGTGTCCGATAACGTCCCTCCTTTGCTTAAGACCCTCCAATGCTCCCATCTCACTCTGAGCAAAAGTCAAGGTCGTTCCTATGCCCCTAAGTTGGGCAATGAGATGCTATATTACCCAAAACAGGCACTTTGAGAGTAAAGAAGGCTATAACAATTCCACTGGTGACGGTGTACACTGGGCCAGTGCTGACTCCTGGGGAGCCCTCTGTGACCTGTCCTGTCTGCTTCTGCGGCCTGCCTCCTACCTCCTCCCCATGGCTTTCTTACCCATTTCTACACAGCAACTGTGCACCCTCCTCTCAGCCTTTGCGCATGCTATTCCCTGCCTGGAATAATCTTCCCCGACTCCACCCAGATACACACAAGGTACCCCCTCCTCACCTCCTACATACCTCTAGCCAAATGTGCCCCCCAACCAGAGAGGCCTCCAGGACTCCCCCAAGTAACTCCTCCCATTTGCCAACACTTGTATCTCATACCCTCTAATTTCCTTCCCAGTACTCATGCCCACCTGAAACATTGACCCACCATTAATCTACAGGGGATTGGTCTCCTCCCCATAGAAAGTGAGCCCCATGAAGTAGGGACTCTACGTGATCACTGTGGAATCCCCTGCCCTTACCCCAGCGCGGGGTATACAACAGTTGCTCAATAAACGTTCACCAAGTCGTCGTATGAATTCGGGTTGGGAGGGTATTAGCACGGGTCACCCAACTTCGGGCCTGGCACTGTCCCTGTGTCTTATGTGATCCTCATTACCTGTCAGGATAGAAATCGTCACTCCTACTGCCAGACAAGGAAACTGAGGGTCATTTGCTTTGTTCCTCATTTAGTGGCTCAGTCCCTGATGCGGAACAAGTGTTACGTGTCAGGTCTGGGTAGGACAAAAGCCTTACGATATTACCCATTTTGCATTGTTCGCTTTACAAAAGAGAAAACTGTGTCTCAGAGAATCCAAAACCCACCCCCGTGACCAGTTAGCAGAGCCTGGCCACACTCAGGTGCCTCGTTCCCCTGACTCCCAGTCCAGTGCTCCTTCCTTCTCTAAGTCCAGACCCCGGATAGATCTTCCCAGGGACAGGAAAGCACTCCCCAGTTGACACCGGGGCAGGCCCTTCAGAAGCTATGCCAGTGTAACAGGGAGTTTAAGGATGAGCTAGGTGGGCACTTTCCGATGGCAAACTTCACGCCAAAAGCGATTGAGAATGAGGGGTGTCCTGGGGACAAAGAATAATGGGGCTTGACTTAAGTTAGACAGAGACAAGACAAATAGGGTGGCAGTGCAACTTCCATGCAAATTTACATATCAGAAGAATAATTATAAATCTTTGTTATAAACCTCCACAGCTAAATGGGAGTCCACACGGACCCAGCACATGAATCAAGCATGCCGAAATGACATCTATTAAGGAACCATTGTTTCCAGCACTGTCGCGGGGATTTTCTTTTGTTTTCACTTGGGGGCCCCTTAATTAATAGACAAGCCCCATCACTGGGTCTGGTTGTGTGAAGGGCTTGGAGCTGGGGGTGGGGGAGGGGTGATCCAAATCCGAGAGATCGTTATGATTGTCATGATCATTCTAACAAGACTTTCCTCGCTGCGGATGGTGTATGGTGTTGTCGTGGAAACGGCGCGCTTATTAGTCACACGCTCTTCTAAGGTCACCAGAATGCTGGCATCCCTTCATCAACGGCTGCTCTGTGATTGCTGCACAGTGGCCTTGGTGACATGGACAAAGAATCAGGACTCGGCAGGGTCTGCAATATTTTTGTTCCGATTCTTTCTCTGGCTTGCTCTCCATCCCTCAAACAGCTCATAAAAAAAGTGATCACCCCTCTGGGGCACTGGAAATGTTTTATATTATGATCGGAGTGGTGGTCACAGGGCTGTACACACATGTAAGGATCCACTGAGCTGCAATTTCAGATGAAGTAGGTGTGACAGCACGCACGTTATAGAGCAACAGAAAACAATTTTTTTTTTTAAATTTCATCCTTCTCTTACCATCAGGAGACTTTTGCTCTTTCAGCAGGTGTCTGGCTCACTCAGGGGACATCTGGAATATGGTCATCAGAGGGACCTCCCCTCAAGACAGGGTGGCACCTTGTGTCATACATGTCTTGTGTGCCAGATGCATCAGAGACTTCCCGTTCCCGAACCCTCGCCTCCCTCGAGGGAAGGCAGTGTTTTCCTGCCCACCTGACAGATTGAAAACTGAGTCTTGGGGCACTTGGGTGGCTCAGTTGGTTAAGCATCCAACTCCTGGTTTCTGCTCAGGTCATGATCTCCAGGTCCGAATATCAAGCTCCAAGTTTGGCTCTGGGCTCAGCAGGGTAGTCTGCTTCCCATCTTTCTCTTCCTCTGCCCCTCCTCCCACTCGTGCGTGTGCGCACACACACATACGCACACACACGACCAAGGCTCAGTAAAGCTCACCGAGAGCCACCAAGAAAAATGAGATCTGCACCCAGGTCCCTGTGACCCCTGGCCAGGTTCTTTCCTCATTGGCCAAGTAAAATGGGTCCAGAAAAGGGTGTCCAGAGCAATAACATTCTAGAATCCATGACATATGGGGAAAATGTAAAAACCCAGAAAAGGAGTGTTTCTCATTAAAAAAAAAAAAAAGAGGGAGAGAGAGATTTGGAAAAAAGTCACAAAAGAATGGTAAGAAAGTGATATGTCTCCTCCCAAAGATGTTATTGCTTGTCCTACTCAATGCTTCTTTTAAAAAATTACTTACATGGAAAAAATACAATATCAGATTTCTGTGGTCTCTTAAAAATCAAATCTGGCTACTCTGAGCCCAGATTCCCCACAACATACACTCTCCAGTTTGCTCCAATTCCCACCCAGTTACTTTCACTCACTAGGGTGGGGGGTGGTGACCATCTATTATGTTGTGGGCCGGCATTTATTCTTTCTCCTACTGGGAACCACGCTCCAACTACCCTCAAAAAAACTTCCGCTTGGGATGCCTGGGTGGCTCAGTTGGTTAAGCGGCTGCCTTCGGCTCAGGTCATGATCCCAGCGTCTGGGGATCGAGTCCCACATCGGGCTCCTTGCTCAGCGGGGAGCCTGCTTCTCCCTCTGCCTCTGCCTGTGCTCACTCTCTCTGACAGATAAATAAATAAAATCTTTAAAAAAAAAAATTCCGCTTTCCCACTCCTAGTCCAACTACTTTGAGTTGGATTAAATCAATCCCTGGCTGTCCACATGGTTTAGTCCTGACAATCAGAGCATCACATTAACCTGTCCAAAATGATTGCCATTAGCTCAGGATTGGACATGTGACCCAATCAGAGCTAATGAGATACAATGAAACTCTGATGGGGATTTCCTGTGAAAATAACATGCTAGACCCAAACCTGCATGGTATAGCCTGGAGCTGCTGCCAGCATCTAAAAAGCATGTGGAGTCTTAGAATGAATTCAACACAGAGGAGAAAAGAGCTCAGTGATAGAGAAGTCCAAGTGCTCTTTTCGAACCCCTTGATCAAGCTGTACCTGAAGCAAATGTCCTGTCTTCTTCATTTATGTGAGCCAACAAATTACTTAGTTTTTTTTTTGTTTGTTTGTTGGTTAGTTTTGGTTTTGGTTGTTCACTTAACTTATTTGAGATACTTAGGAGCCATTTGTTTGCAAGCAACAGAAAATTCTGAAAAGGTTCCTGGGCTGGTAGACAACAAGATCAGGACCCAATGCATCAAAGTGACAGAAACCTTAATTTCAACCCAACCTAAAGATAGAACTTCCCCACACTGAATTATTAAGGAGAAGCAATATGTCGTGAAATCCAAGTTAAAATTTATTATCAATGTGTCAATTTTGGCACAAAGTAGGTAGTTGGAGGAGATAATCCCAACCTTAGTTTCCTTCCAACTTGATGATCCTATGAACAGCAAGAATGGAGTATTCCTCAAGAAAGATTTCCTGAACACCCTAGGGATATTCCTCCCCTATCCCTATTATCCATTATTACTAAATCCCAGTTGTTCCCTTCACAATAATTACCATTAATTTAAATTTCATTTATATTCAATTTTAAATTCATTACATTTTATCTCTTTTACATTTAATTTTTAATTTTAGATTCATATTTTTGTTTCCTTGTCTTCCCCTCATTGCCTACAAGTTCCATAAGAGCTGAGACCTTGTCCATTTTATTTTCCTGTATGTCCGGCACCTAGAAAAACACCTACCACACAGCAGGCTTTCAATTAATTCTTTCTTGAATGAAGGAAAGAATGAAGGAGACCGACCTTCCTTGGCCCTATGTTTTCTAAGATGTCACTCGGAAAGCCAGTGACTAAATGGGACTCATGAGGTCTGGAGCCACTGGGACTCTTCCATACCAGCCCTATTTAAAGACATCTCCTTGATGCCATTTAATAAAGCATGTCATTTTAGTAAAGGACATTATGGCACACTCTCTACAGAGTTCTTCACCTTTGTCTGGGAACATTTGTCCCTCTTGCATTAGTAATCCAGCATAGGAGACAGTCTCTGGGAGTCAGGGAGGTCTTTCTTTCACAGAAGAGGAAACTAAGGCTCAGAGAGGTCAAATAACTTACCCAAGATCACACAGATCTCAAATTAAGGGTGATGGCATTCTAAAGATTGTGCTCTTTCTGTTATCCTACACTTAGTTTCCTGACGTGTGTGTGTGTGTGTGTGTGTGTGTGTGTGTGTCTGTATGTCTGTGTCTGTGTGTTGTATTTTTCATTCCACAGCACTCTTTTCTGCAAATGGTCTTTCCACGCTCTGGGGACTGAGGCACACATATACACACCCCAAGTCATCACCATCTTTCTTTTATTTATTGCACTGGAGGAGTATGAAATAACACATGCCTGCTAAGGAATAAGCAAATTCTGGGTAAACTGCATAAGTGGGATTCTTTTAAAAGCACATGAAGTAACCCTACAACAATCCATACATTTCAGAACATCATGAGGGACCTGGGGGTTGTGCGCAAAGAGGTATGCTCAGTAGCATCTTAGACAAATTAACTGAATTCAAGACCCTTTCCTCTCCTATCATGCCCAGCCTCCTGGATGCACGAACCAAGCTGTAGTGCCTAGGGATGAGCAAGCAAGAGCAACAGAGAGAGAGAGAGAGAAGACTTTGATCAAAACCGCAGAATTGGGAGGTCTCTGCCTCTGATTCTGGGTTATTTGAATCAAGGGAATTCATTTGGCCTCAAGCACTTAATCACTTCATGCCTCTTTCTGGTTTTATTCTGAGAAATCAGAAGAAAGAATCATCACAGGGGTTGAAGAACGCCTTTTTGTCTTTCTAGCTGTTGCTTCTGGATTCCCTTACCCAATGCCCAATGCATATGTTTGGCCAGATGGCTGAGACTCTTGGCGGCCAATTCAGCTGCTCAAGAACATGGTTGTGCTTAACCTCATCAACTTGACTCAGCTTTAGTTCATCCTGGGGTGGGAGTGTGCTGCCGATCTGTTTAATTAGTTTAATGAGGGCTGAGGGAACTGGTCCACATTTTGCGTTTGCTGCACAGAGCAAATTGGTTTGTCTTGCTCCCTTCCTGATCATTTCAGTATTCAGTGGGAGAACTGCTTTCATTACCATTTTGGAAGGGGTTTCCACGCCCTTCCTCTCCTGGGAGGAGCGGGGTGCTATCCAAGGTACCAACATGAACTAGAGTCCGGGAACTCGATTCCTCAAGAGGTATGTTTCTGAACGAGGAGAACACAGGGGACACAACTGAACACGTGCCCACCAGAGGACCGAGCTTTCTGATGTAGGACTTCCAAGAAAATGCAGTGTTTGAGCCTTTTACCTAAAGCATGGTCTCCGAAGTGAAGAGCACAAGGAGGTCCTTTAAGATTTGGGGTGAAGTGTTATGATTTCTATTTGTTTCTTTATCTTGTTTTGCTATTTATCTAGAGGAATGAAGAACATATCAGTCTGGATTCCTGGAACTGGGGAGTCACATTAATGAGGGGGGGTTAATAGGAAAAACTGCTGTTGGCGGTAGTTTCAATGTTCTAGAGCTGAAGCCAAGCACTGAGCCTACTGGAGAAGGGGACCTCCATCCTTCTTCCTCGCTAACCCTGGACAAACACTGTGCCCCACACAGAAAAGAGGCAGGCTGGGCTTGGATGTTTTGCACACCAGGCTGAACTGAGCATTGGGAACGGGGGCTCTAAGGTAGGATGAATGAGGGCACACCAATCTGGAAGGGTGTCAGGGGGAGCTCCTGACTTGACTCCACAATGGGGGGAGGATTACCCATCAAGAAGCTCTCCGGAGTAGGCATTGGGGTCTTCCTGAGACCGAGTTACTACCTTGAACTGGCGCCGCAGGAAACCGCCATAGCGCTTCTGGTTGTCCCATTTGAGCTTGGGACGGATGCGCCTCAGGAAGCCCCCATAGCGTTTGTACAGGTCCTCATGGCCCATTCTCTCCCCATTGCCCTCCCCATCTCCTTCCCCAGCAACCTCTGAGCTTCTCTTGGGGTATTTGCGCAGGAAGCCCCCATAGCGTTTGACCTGTTCCTTGTGCCCCTCCTCATTGGAATCCAGTGCCCCAGCCTCCACGGCATCATCATTCAGCTGGGTGTCCCCCAGCAGCTCAGACTCCCCTTCCTCCCCGAACCTGCCAGAGAGACCCCTGAGCCTCTCTGCCAGGCTCCTGCTCAGGGTGTCCTCCTCTGTCGGGGTGCTGAGGAGAAATCTGTTTTTCTCAATCTCCTTCGGGAAGGACCCAGAGCGCTTAGCCAGCTCACTATAGGGTTCCTCCCAAGCGGCCTTGGTCGCCAAGTCTTCTTTGCCATTGAGCCTGAAGGTGAAGGCGGTGAAAAGAGACAGAAGGCCTTGGCATCTCTCCCACTCCTCAGCCGACAGCAGAGCGGACTGGCATTCCAGGGAACAAATCTACAAAACCCCAAAAAGACCAGAGTGGTAACATCACCCCCGTTGAAACGCCAAGTCCCGTGTACTCCCCTGCCCCAGAGAATCCCTTGTCCAGTGTCAAAAAATCAAAAGTAGCTGCCCTTACTAAGCCCCAGGCTTCCCACTTTAATGCTCCCAGGGGTGCATGAAGGTAGGGGATGGTGCACCTGTGCACAAGATGAGGGAAGAGACATGGAGAGGCGAAACAGCTTTCCCAGGGAAACATGGCTACGAATGGCGATGCCAACATCCCAAGTAAGATATTCCCGGAGTGCTCTGCGGGGCACTCACTCATCCTCTGAGCTCCTGACTACAGAGAGAATACTTGGCTCTCGCCCCCTTTCCCAGGTGTGAAGGATGTAATAGACAAGGAAGCCGTCCAGGATGGTGGAGAGAACACTTGTGAGGTGTCGGAAGGCTCATCAAACCCCAGGCGACAAAAATGTCTCCTTCACAGGAGTGCTGGGAGAATTCAAATGTGATCGCGGTGATGGTCATGAGGAGGACAGTGACAACATGGGACAATTCTGGAACTTGGACCGAGGCAGGCTAATGCCACAAGCCCTCCACACGGAGCTCCCCTGTGATCGTCTGCCTCTCAATGAAGAACAGCTAGAACCGTGTGTTTGGTCCTTCGTGTTGTTATTTCAAAGAATCACGCCCATTTTGTGGATGTGGAAAATGAAGGCAGGCGTGTTCCAGAGTCTCAGAGTGAGAAAGTGATAGACCTAAAGCCTGTGCTCTGTCCACCACCACCTTGGAACCTTTACTCTCACCTGTCTGCCATCAAGGGAGAAATACATGGGGGAGCTGGATTCAAAGCAAAGCCAACAAGGCCAGGCCTAGAAATGCTAAGATCCAGGAGAAGGGTCCAGGCTTGGATCCTGTCAACCAGATCCGGGCATTTAGTTGTGGTTGGAGAGACCTCCTCCCACGGGAATGGCTAGACTAGGAGGTGCCCTCAGCCTGGTGGGAAGAGGCCCTAGAAAGTTGCCATAGGCTGCCTACTCCCAAAGCCAGCACTGCCTCCTTATTGACCCTCTTTGTTGCAAGGCATCAGTCTCCCTGGAAACCTGTGTCCGTCCCAGGCCTGAGCAAGCCAGGGGTGGTAAAGTCAGAGGTGGGGATAGAGGGGGGATCCTGCAGTCTCGGGTGCCCAGGATAACCCCACGGCAGGATGTGTCTGGCACAGGTGGGACAAGTCTATAGACCAGACGCACAGTGGCCCAAACTCCGCACACACGGCCCCTTCCGCACACAGGCCCAGGACCTACCAGAGGGTTGACGGGCTTGGGCCCATCCTGGGTCTTCACAGCACAAAGGGAGCACTGGGATAAGCAGTCCGCCATGACCGAGGGGAGCACGAGGAGGCAGGCGGCCAGCACCAGCCCCTGCCACGCCATGCTGTCTCCTCTCTTCCTGCTACAGATGGAGAAAGAGAAGAGAAGGGGTCTGTGAGCACCTACTCTGTCAGTGTCCGGAGCCATCCGGCCAACCCCTGTGGAAATACTGCAAGGCCAATAACCTCATTCCCATTTCACAGTCAGGAAAATAGAGGCCCCAGGAGGCACAGTGGTTGCCCAAGGCCAGGGATCAAAGAAGGGAATTAATGTGCTGAGTACTTGCTACAGGCCAGGAGCTTTCCCCCATGCTCACACTTATCTGCATAATAGTTCCAGAGGTGGGCTGTTCTGTTTTCATCAGACAGGTGGGGAAGTTGAGGCTCAAAGGGGAAGAGATTGCCTGCACAGCTAGGCAGTGGACAAGCCAAGACTTGACCTGAGTCTGTGAACCTTCAAAACCCACTTTGCCCATCCCCAACCCAGAAGACACTCAGCATCTGTTTTTCTGGATTCTCTGAGGCCCCATCACCTGCCTTGTCCCCACTCTGCAGCTTGTCCCCAGGCCAGTCCTTTCTGCCTTGTAAGTTCTCTGGAATTTGCCTTTTTCATCCCAGCACTTCTACTTACTGTGGCCATCTTTCCACCTCCTCTGAGCTGGCCTCCCTGCCTCTAGTTCCTTCTTGGATCCCTTCTGCCCAACCTAAAACACCCTGCTCAGCATGGCAATTCTGCAATCAGATCTGTTAGGCTGGGTCAGGCCTGGACCCCTTTCTAAATTATAGGAACACTCTCAGTCTCATCCCCTACACCCTAAGACTTGGTCCCAACCACATCAAGCTACTTGCAATTCCCCTAATAAACGTATCAGGCCCTGTCCCATCTCCGGTCCTTTGCATATGCTGGTCCCTCAGCTGGAAAACCCTTCCACTCCTCTTCTATTACCTGCTAATTTAGTCCCTACATTAGATGTCACTTCCTCCAGGCAACTTTCCCTGATCTCCGAGGCTGGATAGGATGTTCTTCCTTTGCAATCACCCTAAAACTTGTGCCTCCTCCATCAAAATATTCCACTATTTGGTAATTATCTGAGTCTTCAGGCTTTGGCTCCATGAAGGCAGGAGTTGTGTCTTGTTCATCTCTCTCTGCATTCCTCAAACCTGCCAAGCTTGCTCCTACCCCAGGGCCTTTGCACGTTCCATCCATGCACCACCACCACCACCAACCCCCCGCCACAGTACTCTTAGCCGAGATTTTCACATGGTTTTTTCCTTCTTGTAATTAGATGAAGTCAATGTCAAATCACCAGGGAGCTTTCTGCAGCCCCTGGATTTAAAGCTGCTTCCTGACTCCTCTTCCATCACCCTGCTTTGTTGGCACCAGAGCACTCACCATCTCATAGGATCCTCTGGATTCGGTGTTGGTTTGCTGTAGTTCTTGGCAAGTATCACTGACCCCGCTAGAGTGTTAGCTCCTCCAGGGCACTACCTGTCATGGTTCTGGTTGTCCCTGACCCACCCCTAGCACGCACATGCAGTAAATGCTAGGCATTAGAGTTCATGCATTGCAAATAGTGTGTTAAAAGCTCTTCCTCTCATAATTAACTCCTTATAAAACAAATATCAAGACTCAGTGCCATTCAAAAGGGGGCACAGGACCTTTCTCCCAACTGGAAATGGGGAGTTCTTCTGAGACACTCCTCTCCAGGTGGGAGGCTCCAGGCTCTGCCCACCTGGTCTTTGCTGCTGGACACCCATCACACTGCTCTCAGGGACACTGTCCTCCTTCCCTCCTCCAAGTCTCCCGTGCCTGCCTTTGCTGCAAACTGCCCAGTTTGCTCAGGGGATTTAGCGGGTACCTCCCCACCACCCCAGAGCCCCTCGTTGTAGCTCAGAGGGTCTCCCTCTCGAGCACACAGTAGATCCTCTCCCATCCGCTACCCCTCCCCAGGATGCCTAGTAAGATCCCAGACAGAATTTACCAAGCCCTGCTGTCCATCATCCCATCTACTCCTCCCCAGTAAGGTGCCACTTCTGGTTCAGTGAATCACCCAAGCCTTACAGCAAGCAGAGAAGCTGGGGAGCAAGACTGTTCTGCTTGACTCCCCACTCTTCTGATCTTAATGACTACCATTTCCAGAGCAACATTGATTCATTAACAGCTGAACCCTCTGCGAGACCCAGAGGACCCACTGCCCAGGGCCATTGACTTGTATATTGTTCTCAATCCACCCACCAACTGTGGGAGGTGGGTATCATCATCCCCACTCTGTAGATGAGAACACTGGTGATCAGAGAGGCTTGACAGATCTCCTGAGGTCACACAGCAACTGAAGAAGAGAACCCAGGCTTCTCTTGAAGCTGGGCAAGTTCTGCTCCCTGAAGCAGGGAGGCTCAGAGAAGAAAACCCAGGGAAGTGGACATGGGTCCATCGCACCTCTCTTGCCCACCCTGGACAGTCTCATGTTCTACCAGCTGCTGAGCAGTGTTGGCCTCTGGGAGAGTAAGCTGGACCTCTCATGTGCATATACAAAGCAGGCAGCTCTTGTTTTCTCCTTTATGGGCGATGGCAATGGTGGGGCTGGCCCCTTAGATCAGCAGTGATTTACCTGCCGTGGAGGAGGAGCCTACACCACACAACTCCCCGCCCCCAGGCTTCCCACACAGCTTGGCTGCCAAGGTAGGAGGCCCGATTCTAGATCCTTTTTGTCCCAGGCAAAAATAGCATCAGCAGCCTTTCCTTTCATCCACTAACTTTATATTTAATAATAATCCTAGCTGATCAGACGGATGTTAAGTACTCCTGATGTTCTAAATGATTCTCATGAATGAATTCATTTCTATTCATCGTGACTCTCTGGGGTGGGTACTATTGTCACGCCCACTTTACAGATCAGGAAACTGAGTTCAGACACCTGTCAAGCTTCTAGAGCAAGTAAGGGGCAAAGCTGGGATTTGCATCCCCAGGGGTCTGGCTTGAGCCCACTTTCTTAACCATGAGGTACTGGCCAGGCTCCCCCAGTCCACTGCCCACCCCCACCCCCCAGCCTCCAGCTTCTCCCTCCAGGCAGCCGCCTCCTGACTCCTCCAATCTTGTGAATCTGACTGCACCCCTGCCCTGCCTCCTGGCCTTTGAGAGGAACCCTGCCTCTTAGCCAACTGCTCTCGGGCTTTCCCACTAAGAGGAGCTGATGCTGACTAGCGTGCACCGCGTGCCGGGCCATGCTGAGACCCACCTGCGTTTTAACCCATTTGCCTCCTAACAACCCCATAAAACAGGAACTACTATTCTTTCCATTCTAGAAGCAGGGAAATGGAAGCACAGAGCTTACGTCATCTAAGGGATCCCAGCAAATGCACAGCACCCAGACTGGCTGGCTGTGAGCTTTGCCTGATGCAGGCCTGACCACGCCCCCTGCAATTCCAACAAGAGTGCTCCATGTGCCCCGTCTTCCAGGCTTTGCCCAAGGGGCTCCCTCTGTCTGGAACACCACCCCCATCCCCTCCCATCTGCCTCTGACCTGGCTAACTCTGATTTGTTCTTCAAAACTCAGCCTCAGTTGCCTCCTCCAGGAAGTCTGCCTGGATTAGCCCCCTCGTCAGAGCTCCCACAGTCACCTATGCTGGCTCTGTCACATTAACTGCCTCTTGTTTTCTGAGTTCCCTGACCAGGGTGCGGTGGAGGGGGGCGGGGGGATCTTCATCTCTGCAAGTCAAAGTCGCTACAGGGAGAGTGTGTGGTGCATTTGAGGATGACAAGGCGGCCAGGGTGGATGAGGGGGCATGAGGCAGGAGACTGGGGTAGAAAAGCAGACAGAGGAGCTGTGGCCAGATGGCGTGGGACCCTGTAGGCCAAGGTGAGGAGTCTGCGTTTCGCTCTTTCGCTATGAGAAGACGAAGGCCGTATGAGGATTGATGATGAACGGATGAGTGAACGGTGTGCCCAGCGAGAGCAAGAGCTCCCCCAGGTTTGTTGAGCGGATACAACGGGCCACCCCTGGACGTCTGGGAAGCCTAGTCTGAATTTTTCGGGATCACGGCTCTGTGCCCCTTGAGAAACCTCACGGGGTCTGCGGTTGTCCAAGACCAACACTGCTAAAGGAAATTCAGCAAATGTTGTGGAAACCAGGGAGCCAGGGGAGGGGAGGGAAGAGGAAATAAGAGAAGAGGGCAGACAGGAAGCGGAAGGGGGAGGAGAGATGAAGGGGGAAGGGAAAGACAGAAGAAGGAACCAGGTGACATGCTGAATATTAGGGACTTTATTCTGAGGCTTTGATTTTTTTCCTTGACTTGCTCAAGGTGTGAGCAGAGTTATGGTTCCTTGGCCCTGGGAAGGACACAAGTCCCTATCTTCAAGCAAAGCACCTCTCACCCCTACCCACCCCCAACACACACACCCACGCCCCACCGATATAGCCCTCGCCCCCTGAGCCTCAGTGGCTTTCCCAGGAAGAACTGGGAAGGGACGTTAATGGCATGGGGAACAAGCAGAGGGCTGCCCAGGGAGGGTCAGGGCAGTGATGGAGGGGTTAGGCAGGGTCAGGCAGGGCTGAGGCCTCTGGCTTCCTCCTCCTCAGCCTGCAGCTCTCTCCCTGCACAAGGCAAATGTCCAGAGGCTGCAGACCAGCTGCCTGAGGGACAAATTCAGCAAATAGGCACGAGGTGTTTTGCCTCGCATAAGGATTTTTTTTTTTTTTTAATTCTGTTGCCACCAATTCTAACTTGGGATGTTTTTATATTTCAAAATCTTAATTTCTGACCTATATTAAAAAATCAGAAGTTCTGGAGACATTGGGCCTGCACTGCCATAGGGCAACCGTTACCCAAGGGACACGTGCAGCCTGGTCACCACTGTCCCCACCCGGTGGCTTCCCTCACGTCTGCTGCTGAGCACCTGATAGATGGTTGACTGCAGTGCCTTCTCCAATAACTTGGAGAAGGAGCATGGGGTCAGAAAGGAGAGGGGCGCCTCCAAGTCTTTCCTGACCCAGAAGCGGGATCAACAAGTCCTTAGTTCTGCGGATTCAAAACCCAACCCACCCCTTAGCCCCAGTCTGGGAAAATTACTTGACTTTGCTGTGTCTCTGTCTTCTTGGTCACATAGTGGGGCTAATAATAATGTGTCAGGGGGTGGGTATAGGAATTAAGTAATCATGCACATGGCCCCCCAGCTGGGTACCTGGCACGTAGTCAGTGCTTTACATAGCAGAATATGAAGGCTCCATTCAACTCTTAGTCTCTAGGAGGTGCCAAAAGAAGGCAAAAAGGAGTGAGAACACATGCCTGGAACACAGTTCAAAGACCAAAAAATGAGTTGTTGAATGAATGAACGGCCACGTGCGTAGGGCCTACTGTGTGCCAGGCAGCACTGACCACTCCATATCCACAGTCACATTGGTCCGGTAACGGCCACCACAGCTCAATAGCCTACTAGGTGCCAGGCTGGGCGTTCCCACTTTACACACACAATTCTAATCCTCAGCACAGCCCCAGGGGGTAGATGTCTTTATACCCTTTGTACAGAGGAGAATACTGAGGCTGGGGAAGAAGAAGTCGCCTGCCAGAGTTGCTTGGTTTGTCAATGGGAGCTGGGCTTCTGACGAGATCTCTCTGGGTTAAAAGGTGACTCTAATAAAAATACATCAGCCCTGAGATCTTCACTAGGCAATCCTATTTCCTTCCTATTGTAGGATAAACAAATTACTGAGCCCTGCCAGATGGGTCCTTTCACCTTTGTTGGGGGATTTGCTTAAAGTCGTGCATCAGAGGTAGCCCTGACTGCTTGTCAACCAGAAAGAGCTGAGAAGAAATGGCACTTGGATGCTCAAGGTGTGAGGTGGGGGGGAATAGCGTCAGGCAGGCAGACCCCAGAGGGAAGTGCACATGGCCACCAGGGAAGGAGGGGCCCCCTCCATGGACTGAGTGGGCCCGGGGGCCTCCCCACAGCCCTCCCAAAGAAAAACCCTCTTTACTTGCAGGTCCCTGAAGGACTTCCTCAGCCCCTGCCTCGTGGGCTTTGTGACAGCCCAGGGAGGGAAGCAGAAGCTGGTGGGGAGGAGGGAGCATTCTCCCCTACGAGGCGAGGAAATTTTGGACCCACCAGCCTCCATAATCACATGATCCAATTCCTTCTACTAATTCTCTTTCTCTATATGTACACATCCTACTGTTTCCATGTCTCTGGAGAACCCTGAGAACATATCCAACACCCATCCCATCTGCTCATCGTCGTAAGCGTAGGGTTGAGACAGGGACGAGATGCCCAGATGCCCCAAACTATAGACTAGCTGGTCTTCCGTGGACCAAGTTCACCGACCCCTGCTTTCATTGCTCTTATCACCATTTTTCTAATTTTGATTATTCTCATTGTTTTGAAGTTGACTTTCTTGAGAAAAATCAGAGAGCAGTCACTCCCCTCCCCAAGCCCTGGCTTCTGGCTTCTTGTCTGCCTCTGCCCTGTGACAGGGCCGCCCTGGCGACCCCACCCCCCACCCCGAGGCCCCAGAGTTCCTTGGGAGGGAAGGGACTGCCTTCCCCACCCACTCATCTCCTGGCGGTGATATTTCTATATTGTAGGCAGAGGGCTCAGAGGAGCGGCAAGCATTAAAAAGCCAGCGTGGAATAATAATGGCTTGATTTAACATTGCAATTATCTCTCCCAGCACTTTATCGCATATGATTATCCCTATTTGATAGAAGAGGAAATGGGAAAAGGTAGGAATGAAGTCACTTGTTTAAGGTCACAACATGAGTCAGGAGGGAAGTGGAGATAGAGCGGGGCCTCCCACCCTCAGGCGGTGACTCGCACTGAGGAGCTGGCGTTTCAATGACCCTCCAACAGCCTGCCCACGGCCGGCGGGCTGGGAGCCCGGCGCTGCTGCTCTGTGCCAGGCCCATGGCCTCCCGCGGCCACCGCTGGGGCAGGTGCCTCCTTTACCGGCTTGGGTGGGAAGGGTGAGGACCAAGGGACCACACACCCCAGGGTCCCAAGGGCATGTGTGGCTGAGCTGGGGTTCTCTGAGACCGTAGCATCCCTGCAGAAGGTATAGCTATGGGGCCAGACTCGCTTTCAGTCCCATTACTGCATGTTTGCCCTCAGGAGAATCCAGGAAGCTGGCACGATGAGCCCCATTTTCCAGATGAGGAAAGAAGGTCCCAGAGAGGCAAGATCACCAGGTCAAGGCTGAGAGGCAAGGACATAGCAGAAGCAGACTTGAAAGTCAGTCTGCAGACCCACCCAGAAACCGTGCCTGAGGTGTGAGGTCACATTAAATGTCCAGCAGACCCTCCCACCAAAGTCTCACGTTCCTGAAGATGAGACTGTTTCTGGAGTTTTACCCTCCCCCACACCAAAAAGCATATGAAGTTCACCACTGCGGGTCTCCAGGGGCTGGAAAAGGGAGATCCGGAGAAGTGGCAGACAGTGTTCTTGTAAGGCCTTTAGGGTCATTAACAAAGAATGGACTGTCCGCGGAGGAGGGGCGGGGAGAAGGGCTCTGGTCTCAGATGGAAAGTGAACCCCCATGCAGTCCAGCAAGAATCAAAGCACAGAACATGGGATACAGCCCTCTGTCCTAGGCCACTTACTGTTCGAGGACCAGAATGAAACATGGCCCTGCACTCCATGGTCATGGGGGGTTATTAACTTTGTTTTTAAAAGAGTGATTTTTAAGAGCAGGAGTCACATGAAACCCCCGCCCTTTGTTATTTGGTGCAATTAAGGGACGGGGAGAAAGGCAAAGGAGGATGGGCCAGAGAGAGACAGGGATTGAGATGCAGAGAGACAGAGACAGAGAGGGAGACAGAGACAGAGAGGTGTGTACGCCAAAAAGACTAGCAGAGACTCTTGTGCACAGAGAAAGAGATAAAGACACTAGAGAAGCTGGGAGATGATGGAGAATGGAGCAGGAGAGGTGATGGAACAAACGGGAGAAGGTACAGGAGGAGGGGAGGGAACAGAAGCAGAGCAGGGGAAGGCAGGGCCGGGAGGGGACTTAGATTCAGTGCGTTGACCTACTGTGTGATCACAAACACCAATTCCTCCTCTTGCCAGTGGACCCGTGGGCCAAGCACATAATAACTGCTCACTAAACCCTTCTCAGCTTAGACTGAACTGTCCACTAACGGTCAAAGAGCCAAACGATGGTAGACAAATAGGTGGTAGATGATAGATGGTAGATGGTAGGGGACCATGCCTAGAGCCTCCCTCTCCAGCCAGGGTGACAGCTGGATGGCCTCAGGGAGAAGTCTCCTGAGCCCAAACTCGTGGCTGTGCCACGTGGATCTGGGCCGTTTACCCTCCTGCCAGGAACTTCAATCTGGACCTGGGCTGGGAGCGATTAACGAGGCCCAACATCAAAGGTCCCAGGACCCGTCTCCCTCTCCAGGACCTGATCCTGGACTTACTGTGTGTCTCCAGAAATATTTACTGCCAGCCACAATGGCGAGCCCTGTCTCGGTGAAATTGTTTTAGCCCTTTGTCAGGCGCAGTGAGATTAACCAACATTTATGGGCTGAGATGAGCGAAAACGGTGAGAGAAATCAGCTCGCTGACTGCGCTTTCTCAGACACACGTTGAAATCAAACCACCAACTATCGATCCCACTTCGAATGATGGAAGACATCTAATAAATACAACAATTGTGCAAGAATGGCCCAAGGAGGGAGGCGGTAGGAGCGGGGTGGGGAGGATCGATCAGGAAGAGACTTCATGATCCTGAGGCAACAGATGAAGAAATGGTCTTCTGTTGGTGCGGAGAGGATGGGACTGGGAGGGGAGGAGAGTGTCAGCCCCACCAACTGAGATACTAGACCTATTTCCCGGACATGGGGCACAGCTTGATGGTGTAGGGGTGATAAAGGGTATTATAACAGACAGAGGGGGAAGGGACAGTGAGAACTTGAGCAGTCACTCTGGCATTTATTGAGTACCTACTGAATGCCAGGCATATTACAGTATCCCGTGGGAGTCTCGCAATAACCTTCAGAGGTCATCACTATTATCCATACCATGTGGGTGAGGAAATGAACTCTCGACTACTGTCCCCAAATCACACAGCAAATGAGTGGTGAGACCTGAGATTTGAACCCACGTCTGGGTTATTGTGAGACACACATTAAGACAATATATGGACCATTCCCAGATCCCAGGAGTTATCTCAAGACGCTAATCCCTGTCCATTTGGTTTAGGGTGATGGTAAATTTCTCAGCTAGCCCCCGAGCCAGTTCCTTTGCCTGCTCTGCTAAAACCTGCTAGGTTCCTCAGGAAGCATGGCGACATCCAACCCCCATCTGCCGGCGGAGACACACCCATCACACCTCTAGCTCATCTGGGGCAAAGCAGTGGGCTTGAGATCCCGTCAGCAAACGCAAACCTCCCCCAGGCAGCCCAGCTCACCCCGAGGCTGCTGCAACAGCTCCCCCACGCAGATCTCAAAGCCTGGAGATTAATGACCTGCAGAAATAGAACAAAAGGCAAGGTGAAGTGGGATTGAGGGGAGGAAGAAAGGGGGAAAGAGGGAGAGATGTGGCGGTGGGAGGGGGAGGCCGGGGGTTGACATTCTGCAATGTTAGCAATGGATCTTGACTGGAACGCCTGTCAAATTAGAAAGACTTGTACATTTTACCAACCCTTGGAAGAAAGATGGTAATGAAGACTTTCAGTCTGTGGGAAGGGAATTGAAATCAGATCCAATAACCTGAAGAGCTTGTTTCCCCTGGGAAGGTTGGAGGCTTAATTAAGGAATGTTTGTAAAGCTTGGAGAGATTCTAGGTAAAAGGTACCCAGGAAAAATTACGAGGTCACAGAATTTACTATTCAACCTCTGTGTCGTCGCCAGGCTTTTCTTTCTCCCCTTTTTTTCTTTTCTCTGAAGCTCACCAGCTTTTTTGCTAGAGTCAAACTTCAGGATTCTAGAATACTTTCTTTGAACAAGGATATCTTTACCAGTGAGCAAATGGCTTTCCCATCTGAGCTTCTTTGTCCCTGCCCACCTGGGCTATAATTTACATGAAAGCAACAAGTCCTTGCGAAGGAAAATTGACAAGAAAAATCCTGTGAAGCCTGAGTCTCCTGGCACGTTGTCACTCTCATTCCCCTGTTCCTTCCCAACAAAATAGCCCCAAACTTCATTTCTGGGTAAATGATGTCAAAGGAAAACCACTCAAGCCAGCACCCTGTCAGCAATTAAACAGGATCCGAAAAAGAATGAAAAGGCTTAACTTGGTTGTACATTGATGTACATGATACCCAGTAAATGCCAGAGCTCTGAATCTCATTAACGTCCCCCAGATCTTGTTCTCTAAGTCCGGCGAGAATCACTGACCTTTAAAACCGCCCTGAGTGGCTCAACTCACTTCTTCCACCCGGGGCATCCCATCCTCACATGGGAACCATGTGTGCCGACCACTGGGGAAGAAAGAAGACCCTGGAGCTAAAACCGAGGGGTGGTACCCTTGGGGGAGAAGAACCCACCTGTTTAAGCCAGGGCTGCGCCGAGGGAGGATTCCGAAGAACCGTCCGTCTCACGCAGACGGATCTGGGGGTTTGTAAACTAACCTCATAACTGTAACTCTGTCTGCCAAATTATCAGAGCCAGACCTGAAATATCCCAGCCCGAGCTCTTACCACCCCCAGGTCCAGAGGACCGGGAAAAACAAATATCATCAAAAGAGAGATTCCCGTGCCCCTCTGGATATTACCTGTGCTCTTCTTTGTCCCTGGGCAGCTTCTGGCCGAGCAGGTCGGAGGGTGGTGGCAGGTGGCTGGGTCAGGACTCGGGGGTCTTCCTGACTCTGGCTCGGGAAGAGGTGCCAAAGAAGCGGCTGTGAGCACCACCAAAGCCCCTCAGAATGGCAGTTCTGGTGCCTCGCCCCCCCCTTTTATGGACTGGAGCCTCCCCCTGTCGCTCAGCCCTTGCTGAGCACAGGCTGCTGGGAGCCAATGGGGAAGTAGCTCAGAGCAGTCAGAGGCACAGACCCCCAGGCCCTTCAACTCGAACTCCCTGGGCCCCACACAATAGGCTTCTCTTCGTGACAGGGGATGTGGAGGAGGAAGGCAGCCGTGCAGGGAGGGGGTTGGATCCTGGGTGTAGTGCTGTTTGTCACTTGAAATCCGGCCACTTCAGTCTTTGATGCGTTTCCAGGAGAGTGTCAGAGAAAAGAGAGAGAGAGGTAGGGAAGGACAGAGACAGAAAGAGTTGAAGAAAGAGAGACACAGAAAGAAAGAGACAGAGAGATACAGAGACAGATGGAGACACAGAGAGAGATAGAGTCAGACAGATCTGGAGACAGAGAGAGGGAGTCAGAAAGATATGGAGACAGATGGGGACATAGAGAGGCAGCGAAACAGAAGATTCAGAGAAACGGAAAGAGAAAGACGCTGTCAGAGAAATAGGGCGTGATACAGATGAGAAAGAGTTGGGAAAACAGAGAGACGCGGAGTGCCAGAGATGGGGCCGTCCAGAGAGATGGGGGGGACCGGAGGGAGAGTCAGAGGAAGAGAGAGAAGGAAACCAGGAAAGAGGACAAGCTCGGGTAAGGAGATCTAGAGACAGCAGAAGAGGCAGAGAGCCCCCGCCGAGGGAAGCGATGAGAAGGGGAGGGCAGCCGGAGCCAGTGCCCTGTGCCGGGTGCCATGGTAGCTCCGCATGCCGCTGTTCACGCATGTGCTGGAATGTTTTTGTGTGCACACTTGCCTGCACCCACTGTCGACTCTGGTACATGCCTGGGCTGGTGCCAGGCACAACCAGCCCTGGCAGGAACTCAGCCCTTCCCCGGCAGCCAGGAGCTGCAGTTTACTTTTCTCTGATGGCAATACAAAATGAATGATCATGAAATCCCCCTCAAAATATGGGCTCCGATGTGCCTTTGCCTGCACTCCGGGTGGGGGGCATCCCTACCTCCTCGGAGTCCTCGGTCCACGCTAGCAGCAGCTTGAAGGCTGCGCTCTCATGGCCACAAATACCCTCCAGAACATTCCGAGTGGGGTGGTCTCTGAGTTTGGGAGAGCACACGCTTCTTGCCTCAGTCCACAGCAGACGCGCAGTTTGTGGGGGGAGGCATGACTATTTCAGAAGCCTGGCAGGGGCTGCCCGTTCCCTGGGCACCGAGGCTGCACCAGGCCCTCGGCCAAAGCTGGCGAGTTGAGTCCTCACCACCTGGCCCGACAGTGAATATTATTCCCATCTTGCAGGTGAGGAAAAAGAGGTTTCAGAGCTGAGAAATGTCCCCAAAGACAGACAGCAAGTTCAGTTGTCAAGCTAGGGAGGAACAGACGCAGGCTGGCCTGAGCCCAGAGTCCCCTGCTCACTCCCTCAGCCCCCCGGGGTGCGAAGCCCCAGTCTCCCCACACAGAGGTGTGGGGACCCCGGGCTGTGCTCTCTGGGACTATCCATCCCCCAACTCCGCCCCCATCCAAGGTAGAACCGGGCTGCAACTCAGAATACTGGAGATGTGGGTTTGCTTCCCAGCTCTGCCAGCTCACCGGCAGACTGAGCTTGGACAAGTTTCCAACTTCAGATTTAGTCGGCTTATCTATAAAATGGGGATAACGGTCTCTAGCTCATCGGGCTCTTGTGGGGAGTGAAACAGGGTGTGGGCAGCATCACTTAATGCAGCCAATCCTTAATGAGGGCTCCATCACCATCTGTCCTCGTGATAATCCCACCGTTCCTGCTCTGACGCACCAGTGTTCTCCATTCTCTGGACGCTGGTCCTCTCCCTGCCCCTGATTCATTACAGGGAGGAAGATGGAAGGAGCGGTCTGCTGGGCACCTACTCAATTCCATACACTTCCTCATGGCGCGCTATACAGTCACAACCAGCATATGTGTGGTATGGATGCCCCAGCCACACAGGGAGGGAGGAGACGTTGAGCCCTGTCCCTTAGGTCCCAGAGCTCAGCTCCCCCACACTCCCCTCCAGCCTGGAGATGACGTCTACCTCCTCCCTTTCAGAAAGGACTCTTCGGGATCCAAATCAGCCTTTCTCTCCTCCTTGTCCATGTTCTCAGGCAGCATGTGGGGGCGGGTTCAGCCGGGGCAAAGGACTTCAGAAGTCAGTGTGGAAGCCCCCATCCCCAGTGTCCAATGGCCATGGCCCAGGCTCAGTGAGTGCTTGGCCACATGTCAGGCTGGCTTCCCCCCAGAGGATCCAGAGGACTTGGGTGCCACCCCAGGAATCTGGGGGCCTTGAGCTGCAGTTGCTTCTTCCTCCCTAAGGCCAACTCCATCCTCAGTCTCTCTCCATCCTCCTTATTCTTCACCTCATGCTCAACCTCCCCACCTCTACCTCCACAAACTCTTGGAATAGACAAAGGCTCTAGGAGACAGGGTACAACAACTCCCATTCCTGGGAGTCAGCGGGTACCCAAATAGAGGAGCAGGGGCCTCTCTTGACCATTGTTCATCGTAAAGAGGAGTAAGGACAGCCAGGAGAAAGACATGGCAGATAATCCCGCTTTACACCCTCAGGGTTTGGCATCCTTCCCCCCTGGAGCCTATTGTGAGCCTCAAAAAACAAATGGTTTATTCATCTGCTTTTCCTTTCCTTCTGCAGCATCCTTTACGCACATGCGCAGGACAAGACCAGGAGTGGCTTTCTCCCACAGTCCTAGAGAAGCTTGTCATAAAGCCCATCCCTCCCCCAGACTCAGGAATGCTCGAGGTCACATCCCAGCCCCGTGGGCAGCAGCACGTGGGATGGGGACCCATGGAATTGCAGGCTTGCTTGGGCTCAAAGCCTCATGCTCCCACTTACGCACTATGTGGCAGCTGATGGATCCCTCACCTCTCTGGGCTCCTGAGTCATCTGAAGATAGGCGGACAACACTAGCTCCATGCAGACGTTGAGACTCCTTCCTGAGCTCTGTCATGCTTTCTTCCCTGCATGACGAGGCTCTAATTTGGATCTCGAAGTGGGCCAAAAGCAAACACTGAAGAGAAGAAAATATTTGCAACAACCAGCCCTTGAATCATTCTGTTAGGAAGGAGCAAAGAAGAACTTGGCAGAGGACAGACAAGTAGAGCCAGCATTTCTTAAGTCCCTCCCCCATGTCAGTCCCTGTGGCGCCACGTTCACAGTCAGTACCGCGCCTGATTTCCCCAGTACCCCTGCAATCAACTGCACACCATACCCCCCCTTTACAGATCGGGAACAGAGGCTGGGAGAGGGTAAGCCATGGGCACAGAGCTATGCAGGGGGCAGCATGGCAGAGCACAGTCTGAAACCAGGTCGCTGGGTCCCAGGTGTGTGCCCCAGGCCCGGGTGCTACTGCTTCCCACCATCTCTCCGCCCTGCTTCTGTCTCATCTTGAAGCTCTATATATTTTCTCTCTTCACCTGTTGCTCTGGGAACACAGGAGCAGCTGACCTGGATCACTCCGGGGCCCTTGGGTGGAATTCAGTGCCTGTCTCCAGCTGGCTTCCAGTCCCCTGGCAGCTCTCCTGCAGAGACTGCTGCCGTGGGAACAGGGACAAGGAAGTCAGAAGCTGTGCTGGAAGAGTTCCCCTGTTCAACCTCTCCGTCTCTGTCTCCCCCTCCCCCTCCCTCTGTCTCCTACTTTCATATCCAACTGTCACCAGGAGCCATTCTGTGCTTGGCCCTGAGAGGGAAGTGTGCCACACCCAACTTTGTCTCTGCACTCATGGTCCAGGGTGGGGGGCGATGGAGGTGTGGGAAGTGTCCAGCAGTGTGACAAGGACTGGCCTGGGAGGTGACCTGGAATTCCGTGGGACAACAGAAGAGGGGCTCCCAACCCAGCTGGGGTGGTGGGGGAGGGGAAGGTTTCCTAGAGGACAGGAGAGCTAAGTGAGAAACGATCACAAGTAGGAGTTGTCCAGGCAAAGGGGAGGAAAGGACATCCAGGCAGAGAGAACAGCTCAGGCTAAGGCCGAGAGGCAAGGAGAATAGAGGAGGATGTCGTTCTCCTAAACACGCATGCTTGACTCCCCTCTTTCTCTGCCCCACATCTGATTCATCAGAGGTCTTCACAGCCGTGGCTCTGTCACCCTGGGCTAGCCCTCACCACTTCCCCCCTGGCTGCTGCCTCCACCCCCTCTCCTACCTACTACTGGCTCATCCGCAGCCAGAGAGTCTTTTAAAAATATACCTCCAGGGGCGTCTGGGGGGATCAGTGGGTTAAGCATCTGCCTTTGGCTCAGGTCATGATCCTGGGGCCTGGGACTGAGTCCTGTATCTGGGTCCCTGCTCAGCGGGAAGCCTGCTTCTCCCTCTCCATCTGCCCCAATTTATGTGTGTGTGCGCGCTCTCTCTCTCAAATAGACAAATAAAATCTTTTTTAAAATTTTTGAAAAATGATAAAAATAAAAATGTACCTCTGATTGTGCTACATCCCTTTTAAAACACTCCAGTGGTTTTCATCGGATTGGAAGAAGCTCCACGTTCCTCATGTGTGGGACCTGCTCTCATCTGACCTGTCCCGGGTTCGCTGCTTCTGGGAGGCACCTGGAGCCGGTGAACTCACAGAGACAGAAAGGGGAACAGAGATCACCAAGGGGCACGTTATTGCTTAAAGGGCACAGAGTTTTTGTTTAGGGTGATGAAAACATTCTGGAAATAGACAGCAGGGATGGAGGCACAATACAATGAATGAACTTAAGGCCGCTGACCTGCACACTTTTAAATGGCTCAGAATGGAGGGGCAGGACAGATGCAAGAAGGTGTCTATTTTCCTAGTCGAGGAGGGCTCTCAGGTAACAATCAGGAGAAAGCAGTTATTCTTCTCCAAGCCAAGAGACACGGGCCGATGCCAACGGCAGAGTTGATGAACTGAAATTGGAGAGAACTTCCCACATCTGGAGCCTGCCCTTGACCTCTGCTACCTCTCGAACAGAAGGTCAATGGTGGGAAATGGTTTTGCCCAAATGAAGAAGAGAAGAACCTTCCATCTCCAATCACCCAAATCTCATCACAGCCACCACGCATCCGGTTTCCATCAGGTGCTAGCTGTGTCCCCTAAACCACGTCATGTACCCCTCATAAGCACCCTATGATGTAGAAACCACCACGTCCACTTTACAGATGAGGAAACTGAGCTCAGAGGAGGGCATCTCTTGCCTAAGGTTGCACTGCCAGTAAGAAGTAGTAGAGCTAGGATAGAAACCCCAGTCTGTCTGCCTGGA